GACTAGTGAATAATCAAAATAGTTCTATTGTGAAAATAAGTATCAATAAGGTCAAATTGTTCTAATAACTAAAGTAAAAAGGAATCAAATAGAGTCAGATTTTAGATGCTTCTGTTTTCCACATCTGTAGGATCTAGCGCAGAAGTGTTTATAGAGAGTAGTATTAAAATGCAGACATAGAACGACAGGCTTTAACAAAATTTTTAATCTAAAAATAGCCCAAATATAACATTGCTTTTGACGCAGCCTCTGAGCTGCTCCATTGGAGAACAGGTTAAATGTTATTGTTTATTACAAACAGCTGATGTATTCACACATATTAAGTTTGGGACAACTCTTTAAACAGTTATAAGCAGCGGACAGAAGCCATGAATGTGCTTTTGTTTATTAAATAATTAATTTCATAGCCATATAATCGTAGAGAACGTTTTTAAAATAGTTCTCTTCCTCCCGCTCCCTTTCAGGCAACTTGATTAGATTTATGTCTTTAATATTGGAGAACGACTGTGTTGTTTTTGGAATTGTTTGAAATACAGTACATAAAAATAGTGATTTGCAGAACAAGAACCAGCCAATGAAAAATCATCTATTGCCAATGCTATTGCTACAACTAGAACCACAACTGTGACAAATGCAATAAATGTTAAGTGTTCAGTCTGGCAAACAAAAAGGTTGACTTTTAGTCTGGGGGGACTGAGCAACTGTTAAAATGGTTTAAAATGATAAAGTATGAGTATTTCAGCGTTTTGGTAGATGTTAAATAGTAGGAAAAGAGTAGAAATAGATAGATGCTTTCAAAAATAGAGATTATTTTTAGACAGGGCTAAAAGTCAAACGGTAAAAGGACCATTTCCTTCATAATATGTCCAAAAGTATTTACTTCAAAAGTAGATAAGGTTCATTACAGTTTATGCACAGTTCTATTAGATACTTGTCAAATTCACTTGTTTCAAACATAGGTGAATGTTGACAATGCAAGAAGTTCATAAGTGTAACTTAGATTAATGAGATAGATTAATGAGATAGATTAGAACCAACACAGATTCAAAAACATTTAAAAGCATTTTAATGTATTTGGGTATAGCACAAAAGTAGATAATTAGGTATTTTTTGAGAATTTTAAGAGCTGTCGATTTGTCAGCAACAGATTAGAGAATCAAAATACAGTTGTAGAGGGACTGACCCCAGAGAAACCTGCAAAAATAGATTAGCTCCTGTAAGGATAATACCAATTTGATTAATGATGTACATTCATCCCAAACTGTCTGAGAGGAGGAAGTGACAGGACTTCCTGGTTCAACAAATGTGTTTGGAAAAATGAGCAAAGCCCCACAAAATGGCACAAAGCCACTGATAATGAAAGCAAACCACAGTATGGACAGATTTATTAGATAAAAACATATGTTTAAGAATATGGCTCAATAAAAGCAAATATGCAAACATATTTGTAAATAGATTAGAATAGTTTTAAACTATAGTGAATAGTTTTAGTGCATACATTACAGACGAGGTTGATGAAGAGTCAGAATGACACAGCAGTAGTCATCAAAATAGTATTGAAGGAATGGTTAAAATGTGGTTTGTTGTGTGTTGTATTCTTTCTGTATTAATTCTTCACAGATATCGAGCCTGAACTAATCACAAGTATTGATGATAAACGACGATGTGGATGTGACCTATTTAAGATAGGTCAAAAGAGGGATTGTTGTAGAATTAAAATGTTGTCTACTAATGATTTTGAAAACAGGCCCTCTGAAGAATGTGCACTGGGAAAAGCCCCAAGGACACAAGGATTGCAAACAGGAATAAAGAGGGTCAAATGGAGAAACTACAATCAGTCATAAAGATACCAACCTTCAAATCGGGACAAATTATTAACTCCAGAAATAAACATTCTTGTCTCTCTCTCTGGCGAGATCAAAGTTCAAACCACCATCTGGCTAATCTCTCTTAAGGCAGACTGGGGATTCACCAACGGCGTTCTGACGCCTCCCAGTGGACACGGGACGCCAGCACACCCGAAATGAACATTCGGGAGACGCCCACAAGTGACGTCATCGGACGTCCTGATAAAACTGTTGGCTTGAGTTCTGGGGGACAGTCAGCACAGGGCCAGAGAGGGACATGGATTAGTTTTAGGAGCTCTCTTTGTTGGAATTTCTGTATCTGATTGTAAGGAAATTAAATACAGATGTTAAACTTGGAGATCTTTTGTCATACTTCTGCATCAACTCGAACACGTCAGTCAAAGGGAATTTTTGACACCAGTATCAATTCGTCAACGTAAATCAGAACTCGTCACCTTATTCTGGAGTAGAATTCGGTGTGCCGCAGGGTTCGGTACTCGGACCGATTCTTTTCACTCTCTACATGCTGCCGTTAGGAAACATTATTAAAAAGCATGGAATTAATTTCCACTGCTATGCAGATGACACACAACTTTATCTGTCGATGAAGCCAAATCAGACAGATCAGCTAGAAAAGCTTAGTGCCTGCATAAAGGACCTTAAAACGTGGATGACTCTTAACTTCCTACTTCTCAACCCGGAAAAGACAGAAGTGATCCTACTCGGTCCGAAGCGCCTGCGTGACTCCCTCACTAACCAGATAATCACTCTCGATAATGTCAGTATTATACCCAGTAACACTGTGAGGAATCTTGGAGTCATTTTTGACCAAGATCTCTCCTTCAAGGCTTATATAAGCCAAGTGGCTAAAACGGCGTACTTCCACTTACGGAACATCGCTAAAATTAGGAATTTCCTTCCTAAAAGTGACGCGGAATAACTTATTCACGCTTTTGTCACCTCAAGACTCGACTACTGTAACGCTCTATTGGCAGCATGCCCTAAAACCTCTTTGAAGAGCTTCAAGCTCGTTCAGAATACAGCAGCTAGGATCTTAACAGGTACCAAAAGAAAGGAGCACATAACTCCGGTGTTAAAATCACTCCACTGGCTCCCTGTGGAGTTGAGAATAAAAATCCTTCTCTTAACATATAAAGCCATAAATGGCTTGTCTCCTTCTTATCTCCAAGACACGTTAGTGTCATATCAACCAAGTCAAGCGTTGTGCTCACAAAATGCCAGACGTCTGGTGGTTCGTAAGGTCTCAAAAATCACTGTTGGTGGCAGAGCATTTAGCTACCAAGCTCCTTTACTGTGGAATCAGCTTCCCATTTATGTTAAGGAAGCAGATACGGTCTCCACATTCAAGGCCAGGCTTAAAGCACTCTACTTTAATTTAGCATATAATTAGGTAATATATAATATATGGTGTATATATTATATATATATATGCTGTATTATGTTATATATTATGCTGTATGTTATGTTATGTATTATATATAATATATATAATATGTATGGTACATGTGATATATATGATATATAATATATAACTAGGCTTGCCTGGATCGGTTTGCACACCTGGTGTGCAATCCATGAATCTCTTTATTCAAGGCTAGGTTTAAAACAGTCCTCGTTAGTTTAGCATATGGCTAGGAAGGTAAGACTCAGGGAAGGCTAAACTCCTCAGACTGTCAGTCAAGCTGCATAGGGAGTCAGTTTGCTGGGAGAAGTATGGTAACTTGAGCACTATCCTCTCCTCCTTCCTTTATCCGTTTAGCATTATTAGGATTTTGACTGTAGTTTGTTCATTGCTATTCACCCGTGGTCCCATTGTCGATTTCATAGTACGATGAAGGGATCTCTGAGCCTGGCCTCCTCCATCTACACCTGCGGACTGCCCCGCCCGACCCGCCTGGGAGTGCTTCAGTCCTGCACCGGACCTGTCCACGTTCAGCGGCCACTGGTCCACGTTCTGTAGCTAGCTTAGGTCCTAGATCATTAGCCTGTCCGTCCGGAGGAGCATATCCCTTTCTAAAATGGGTCTCCCTCCCTGTGGGTTTCCCTTGTTCTCCCCAAGGTTTCTCACTTTTTTCCACTGGGTTTTTTAAGAGTTTTTCTTCGTCGATGCAGGAGGGTCTTGTTGGACAGTTAGTGTCCAACAGAAAGGATTGGTGATAATCAGGACAACATTCTACAACATGTATGACCATTTTCTTCTGTGTGTGCTTTATATTTTTCATGTGTTTTAACTGTTGATTCTCTGACCTGTGTTGGTGATTTCAATGGTTTTGTTAAGTCCTCTGAGATGACTTCTGTTGTGACCTGGGGCTATACAAGAATAAATTGTATTGTATTGTATTGTAACAACTGTGAGTGTGAGAAAGACCAGAGGAAACTGTAAAAACACACAAGTCTGCTGCATCCACTTTAAACTATTTTCAAACGACAACTTCAACAGATTATGACATCATCTCTCTTTTGAAATACACACACACACACACACACGCACACACACACACACACACACACAAACTGCATTAGTGCCGATAATTCCATCTCCGCTCTGTTTAGAAGCTCTCTCTGGCTCCAGGTCTCACTCCCGGCTTTTCCATGTCATCTTCAGCTCCTGGGGCAGAGTCTGAGGAAAACCAGACTCTGACATACACACACACACACACACACACACACACACACACACACACACACACACACATACATGAACACACACACACAGATACAAACACACGCACACAGACACACAAACATGCACAGACACTGTATTTCTGTGTTTTGGCCAAATTTATATAGATTCCTTTTGTCAATGAGTTTAAACAATTAAACAACCACCTGCTGGAGTAGAAGCTGTTGCTGTGGCTACTGTAGTATTCTGCTGTAGTTTACTTCAGTAGTATTCTGCTGTGGTATTCTGCTGTAATATTCTGCTGTAGTATTCTGCTGTAGTATTGTGCTGTAGTATACTACTGTAGTATACTTCAGTAGTATTCTGCTGTAGTATACTTCAGTAGTATTCTGCTGTAGTATTCTGCTGTAGTATTTTGCTGTAGTATACTTCAGTATACTTTATTATACTATACTATAGTCGTATACTTCGTACAGCAGCCATATTAGATTTCACAGCTCACAAACACAATGACATCATTAGAGGTAAACGTGGCCACGCCCCTTGGTTACTGGTTGTCGTGGCGACTTCCCGACAAGGTCCTGATCCTGTATTTTATTTAGACTGTGGGAACGAGCAGCAGCTCCAGAGCTGACCGCAAAAGAGACCAACACAAACACTCAATCACAGCCTGTCACCAGGAATATCGTTACGGAGACAGACAGAGAGCAGAGCAGAGCCGTCGTCACGGAGACGGACGGAGGGTAGAGCGTCGTCAAGGAGACAAACAGACAGCAGAGCGTTGCCACGGAGACAAACAGAGAGAAGAGTGGTTGCTACGGATACGGACGGAGAGACGAGCGTCACCACAGAGACGGATGGGAGCGTTACCACGGAGACGGATGAAGGGCAGAGAGTTTCCCCGAGGATGGACAGAGAGAAAAACGAGCGTCACCACGGAGACGGATGAAGGGCAGAGCGTTTCCCCGAGGATGGACAGAGAGAAAAACGTTGCCACGGATACAAACAGAGAGATGAGCATCACCACGGAGACGGACGGAGGGCAGAGCGTTGCCAGGGGGACAGACGGAGGGCAGAGCCTCGCTACGGAGATGGATGGAGGACAGAGCGTCGCTACGGAGACGGACAGAGGGCAGAGCGTTGCTACGGAAACGGACAGAGGGCAGTGCGTTGCCACAGGGACAGACGGACGGCAGAGTGTAGCTATGGAAACGGACGGAGGGCAGAGCGTCGCTACGGAGACGGAAGGAGGGCAGAGCCACCGGGCGGCACGGTGGCTGAGTGGATAGCACTCTCGCCTCTCAGCAAGAAGGTCCTGGGTTCAAATCCCGGTCGGACCAGGGCCTTTCTGAGTGGAGTTTGCATGTTCTCCCCGTGTCTGCGTAGGTTTCCTCCGGGTACTCCGGTTTCCCCTACCACTAAAAATATGTCCAATAGTTCTGGCATGCGCCTCCTGTACTGGCAACCCCGCTCCCATCTCTGTGTGAAGTGAGAGGACAAGTGCCCCTAATTAACAATTGTAAACCGCTTTGAGACTCAGATCTGCAGTGAAAAGGCGGTATATAAATAAAGATTACTAAAGATTACTACTACTACTTGCTACGGAGACGGACGGAGGACAGAGCGTCGCCACGGAGACAGGCGGGGAGACGAGCGTCACACACATATCCATTTACACACCTACACATCCACATACACTCAAACACACATACAAGTACACACATATGCAAACACATACACATACACACATATACTCATCCACGTACACAAAAAGACATATACAAGTACACACATACACCCACATACATACTGTATACACATGCAAGTACACGCACATACACATCCGCACAAATACACGTACATGTACACCTACACACACACACACACACACACAGGTGTCCACAGGATATTGCTTTATAAACATGGAGACTTCTTCTCCTTTAACCGCAGAAATAAGTTTTATGAATAGTTCTTGTACTTCCAAAGTGCTGCTGTAATGAAGCCTAAACGACTCAACCCCAAATCTCCTAATTACCGTTCAGCTCCGATGTTCATTAGCCGTAAAGCTGGACAAATGAGGTGTGAGATCCACGGGGCCCCTCAGCATGAATGGGCCCCGCAGCGTCAGGAAAAACATGGCCGCCGTTCGGAACCCTGCATTTCCTCTGCGATGATGTAATGCCACTTAAAGCTGGGGGACCTAACTTTTGTGTCTCATGAATAACACATGTGTTTGTCCCACAGAAAGTCTACAGTTCACAGCTCCTCAGGGTGAGAGAGAGCCCTGAGAGAGAGAGACCTGAGAGAGGGCCCTGAGAGAGAACCCTGAGAGAGAGAGGGAAAGAGCCCTGAGAGAGAGAGAGCTCTGTGAAAGAGTGTAGTGTTGTGTAGTCCTGGTGTCGTGAGTGTGTAGTGAGTATAGTGTTGTGTAGTCCTGGTTTTGTGAGCGTGTAGTGTTGTTTGGTGTTGTGTAGTCCTGGTGTTGTGAGTGTGTAGTTCTGTGTAGTCCTGGTGTCATGAGTGTTTTGCGTTGTGTAGTCCTGGTGTCGTGAGTGTGTAGTGTTGTGTAGTCCTGGTGTCGTGAGTGTGTAGTGAGTGTAGCGTTGTGTCGTGTTGTGTAGTCCTGGTTTCGTAAGTGTGTTGCAGGGTTTTCCCAATAAAAGAGGATTTCTGTTTTATAAATAAACTTGAGGTGAGTTACGATCGTGGTTAAAGGAGGAGAGAGTTTCACACTGAACTTAAACAAACCATCAGGCACAAGTCTCATAAAGCACTGAACTGTGTGTGTAGTGTGTTGTGTGTGTGTGTAGGAGAAAGTTTCACACTGAACGTACACAAACCATCAGACAGAACTCTCATAAAGCACTGACAATTCTCCACTCAGGAATCACTTGCAATTTAGCCCAGTCTCCATCTGTGTGTGTGTGTGTGTGTGTGTGTGTGCGTGCGTGTGTCTGTGTTTGTCTCATAAACATGTTTATTTAAATGTAAATGTATTGATCCAAACCTGTCTACGTCATGTACTTAAACAGACAGTATATAATAGTTCTACTTTACATGTCTCTATAACAGTCACATGACAGGTCACATGACACATGTGTCCCCACAGGTCACATGACACATGTTCGAACATTTACAAGCATTCTTTGTAACTACCTAAACCCTTACATTATACTCAGACTTACATGTTACATGAAACTTAAACAATCCTGGGGATGTACGTGGACCCCCAGGTCTGGGGTAGACCCAGGTTTGGTGTAGACCCTGGTGTAGACCAAGTGTAGACCAGAGGCCGGTCTCTGGGCCCTCGCTGCTCCCAGTTTTTCTGTGGGTGTTTCCCAAAGCAGTAAAATCCACAAGTTTATGTTTCACATCAGGATTTAAGAAGTCTCTTTGTTTTTGCGGGTTCTACACAAGTGTTAGCTCTACACACAAGTGTTAGCTCTATACACAAGTGTTAGCTCTACACACAAGTGTTAGCAGCGCAAAAAGGTGTATGAAAACAAAACTAAAGCTTTATTAGGTTTTAGATGAAGAGGGCAGTGTGGTCTGAAAGACTAGAGGGAGACCAGAGAGAGACCAGAGAGAGACCAGAGTAAGACCAGGGAGAGACCAGTGAGAGAGCAGTGAGAGAGAGACCAGAGAGATTAGCATGGTTAGAGTTTGGGGAGCCTCTGGTTTTCGCTGTGGGAGCAGGGGAAGCCGTCTTTGGGCGAATGTTACGAGAGAAAAGGATGTTTCCTCATTAAAGGGGTCCATAAAAACGTCTGTGTCGTCAGCTGCAGCCGACAACATCTGGAGCAGGAGCCGGGAACATCTGGAGACAAGCTTTAGTCAAAAACACAGACTGGTAGTGACGCTGCATGTGGAGCTCCCTGCTGGAGAAGTGTGGTAGTACTATCCTTTCTTCTTCTTTATCTCATCTTTATGACTCCAACTGTAGTCTTTTCATTGCTATTCACCCGCCGTCCCATTGTCGGTTTAATGGCGGAATGATGCACCTCTGAACTGTTGATAATAGTCCTGGGTCTAGGGCCTCAGTCCTGGATCTACAGCCTCAGTCCTGGGTCTACAGCCTCAGTCCTGGGTCTACAGCCTCAGTCCTGGGTCTACAGCCTCAGTCCTGGATCTACAGCCTCAGTCCTGGATGTAGGGGGTTTAGCCTCAGTCTCAGCTGTTGGTTCCCAGGCTGGTGAGAGTGGTTCCCAGGCTGGTGAGTGTGGTCGGAGGCAGGTCCAGGGCTCCCAGGGGCCTTCATCAGCTCATACCTCAGGTCGATGACGGGAGGGGGCTGATTTATGCTGCTCCGCGGTGGAAGATGCGAAGACAGCATCGCACCCGAGTCTCCCATCCACACGCAACAACACACGCTTCCAATTACAGCTGCAAACGGAGGCAAAGGGGCCAGGACCAGGACCAGCACCCGGACCAGGGCCAGGACTGGGACCAGGACACATGCATTTAAAACAGACATCTCTTTCTGCTTTCTCCATGTCCCAACACTCCTGGTCTCTCTCTGGTGTCCGTCTCTCTCAGATCTCTCTCTGGTCTCTCTCTCTCTATTCTCTCTCTCGCTCTCTCTCGGGTCTCTGGTCTCTCTGGTCTCTAGTTTATTTTAGTTTAGTTTAGTCTTTATTTGAAGGGACAATGTACAGAAACATTTTGCTTAAAGGTAGGTTCTGCACCAGATTTTAGCTGAACAGCTGTTTCCATCTGCAGTCCCTGGTTACATAGATAAAATACATGGATACTGTAATGTGCAATCCAATAGAAATAACATCACAATACAGATACAGACTCACATTTAGCCTTATACCTGTTTGTTATACTCTATCTGGTGTTTCTCTGGTCTCTCTCTCTGGTCTCTCTCTGGTCTATCATGTATTTCTCATGTATCATATTGAGATCAGCTTTTTCAGAGTCAAAGTAAAAGAGAGCGTACACGCTCTCTCAGCAAAACAGCTCTCAGCCCAGACTGTGAAATACTGACCCACCGGTGAAAACATGTTTTCTAATTAGCTGACGATATCATGTTGTGGTCTGATTTTTTCACAGGCTCGGGGGGAGGGGGGTTTGAGGGTGGGGTAGTGAGGGGTGGGGCTGCAGGCTGAGGTCATGTGTGGGGCCAGGTCCTAGTGATAAGCCCCTGATAGCAGCAGTAACAGCAGGCTCCAGTCCACATCAAAGTCCTGATTAGATTTAGAGTCTGCGCTTGAGCAGCAAAGGCTCCACATTCTGAAGAACGGAGGAAAAAAGACATCTCAGAGGGTTTTACAAAGTTGTGGATTCACCAACAACAGATCAAAGAATCAAACTGTTTCCACAGGAAATACAGAAATTGCAAGCACAAAGGAGCCATTGGTCCACAGGAAGTGGAATGACTGAGGCTGTAGATCCAGGAGTGAGGCTGGGTCTACAGCCTGGGTCTACCCAGGACTGAGGCTGTAGACCCAGGAGTTAGGCTGTAGATCCAGGACGAAGGCTGTAGACACATATGTTTTCTTTAGACTAAGTCTTTCCTGAATCTTACCTTCCTAACAATGAGCTAAATGACTGTTTTAAGCCTGGCCTTGAACATAGAGACTGTGACTACTTCCTGGACGTGGATGAGGCGCTGATTCCAGAGTAGGAGCTCAGAGCTAGACTCTCTGCCTCCAACTGCACTTTTTGACTCTTTAGGACCCAGCAGTTGAGAGAGTTAGGTTGATATGACATTAGTCTTGGAGATAGGAAGGATCCATACCATATATGGCTTTGTCTGTTTGAAGAAGGATTATAAATATAATTCTATCCTCCAGAGAAAGCCAGAGGAGTGACTCTAACACTGGGGTGATGTGCTCCTCCTGTCCGCTGACTCCGGCTCCAGTCTGAGTGTTTGCTCGATGGTTGAGGATAACAGGACGATGGACGAGGAACAACCAGCCTCAGATACTTCCACATGCCCATCAAATATGTCATGGGTTACAGTTACGTAGCTTTAGTCTAATAAATAACAGATGTTTAAAGCTGAGGTCTGTAACTTTAGTCTCATAATTAACACATGTTTAAAGCTGAGGTCTGTAACTTTAGTCTGATAAATAACACATGTTTAAAGCTCAGGTCTGTAACTTTAGTCTCATTTTCTAAAGATGTGACAGAGTTCCCTGGTTGTCGCTCCGGACACTATTGTCCCACCCAGCATCTCGACGGCTTGGGCAGCTCCGTGAAGAAAAGCCTGAGAAACCTCGGTGTAATTTTTGATGAAGGGATGTCCCTAGAGCGACATATTAATCAGCTGGTAAAGAACTGT